TTATATAATATACTTAAAAGCAACAACAATTACTTGTACGTAAAATGTCACTAAATTATTATACCAATATAATTTTATATATTATATATATATTGTTTTTATGTGTAAGTTTTAATCATAAAGAGTTCCACCTAAACAAAATAAAGTGTTGGATAATACATTTTTAATGAATATGATATAATTTATTTTTTACCTACGTTCTAGTATAACATATTACATATGCTTTTGTTATAAGTTTAATAAATCTTAATAAATAAAWATACTTTGCCACATTTTCAGTCCATCTATTAATGTGCACAACCCCTAAATGGTGGGCCCTATAGATAAGAAAATTAGCAATTCTGATCGTCGGCAAGCAATTCCAAAATTCTAATGTAGTCCTTCAAAAATATTAATTGGTTACCCATGGGTCAGTCCTGGCCGTTCTGGGGTAAGGGAGTTGTATAATTTTAGTTTAAATAATTTATATTGAACTTTTTAAACACATTATTTAACAATAATAATATATGTATATAGTATATAAAATTCAAATGCAACATACTCATTGCTATATAACTAAAAACTTTTTAACGTTAAAATTTCTGTTAAAATTCATTTCTTACATCAAACACATCTATTTGTCGGTTTTCRMACATTTTTTTGGAATTTCGATCTTTTGTAGGTAGTGAATATTCCACTTTCCGTAGATATTAAACATTAGTGGTTATTCAAAAATGTTCTTAACATTTCGCGACGCAACTTGCAACTGCCAACTAGTCCAAAACGTTTGAGGGATGTAGACTGAGAGTTTTCCTAAACTTAACCCGATGGACCTTTGACCTCAGTGGCGTAATTACGGGGGGGATTTGGGTGTCGTATCCCCCCATGACCTTTTTTTAAGATTGATTAACTACATACCTATCTACTTCTTTATCTAATAATATTATTATTTTTTTTATATATATAAATGTATATATATTGAAATCAAATACCTCGGCGAATTAATATTATTATAAATAGCCTATATTTTATACTTTATAGAAATAATAMAAAAAAAACAAATCCTTTATGCTAGTTGTACATAAATACTTCGTACCTAGTTCGTTTTAAATGCAGCCACGCAAGTTTATAAGTATCGCTATTGCAATATGAATATGTTTTGTGTAAGTTTTGAGTTGGTTTATGCACTGTGTAGTGGTACAAAAATAAACCACCGAGCAGTAAAATATTATTTTATCGTGGATCGACGACGATCGAAAGACTATTGTCATATCTGTCCTATCTTATCCTATCCTAATATTTTTCCGTAGTMCTATTGAACTAAAAATAACTTATCGATTTGTACACTTAATCGGAATTTATTCCATGTCTCGTGAGTACATAAATATATTGCTCTGAATTCTGAAAGGTGCTTATAATAAATA